AGGCTCTTGTCTCTGCTATACAACGTTTGCTGGATTTCTTAGGTTTCCCATGAGCTCCCCATCTGCTTTTTGACCATCCTGGGATTTCCTGGGACCCTTCTGAGTCTCTCTTATACTTCCACTCATCCAAGACATGAGTCACTGAGCCAAGCCCTTGGGAACGACTTCCACACCCCAGCTTCTGGATTTCTGACTCACCAAAAGGCCATTGAATGGCTTTGGGGTATGAGAAACATAGAGGAATATGAGGGCAGGACCTCCACACTCCATGGAAGCCCTGGAGAAACAATATCTCCGGCTCCCTGGGGTACTGGGCCCCCGGCTGGCCTGGCACATAAGGCCGACACTCAGGCCAGTCCTGGCCATCCAGCCTGGATGTTGTAAAAAGGGTCCTGACAAAGCTAAGATATAGTTCCCCTGAGACAGTGTGTGTTGCCCAAGAACAGGACAGGGCCTGGCTGGGAAGGGGAAGGGGCTGAACGATGATGTCATTCATTAACTCTGGCTCCTGCAAGTCAGCAGGGGAGGGGAGTCTTCCTCCTCCCCAGGATTGTGAGGGGCCTGTTTTTCCTAAGTGGGTAACGATGAAAGCTTTGTAAACAGTTACTCTCCTTGCAGGCAAAGGTCCCTCCACAAAGTATCTGCTTTATTCCTTTGTAAGCACCGTGGACATAGAGACCCAGGGACACACGGCGACATCTAGACAGACAGGGACACACAGGAGAGAAAATGTATACACACACACACACACACACACACACACACACACACACAGAGGCACAGGCAAGCAAACATAACAAAGAACGGGAGCACTAGAGAGAATCTTGGAAGTTATTTCAGAAATGTAACGCCCTCGTTTTTTTTACAGGGGAGGAACCGACTGAGTCCAGGCCTGAAGGATGTCACCTAAGATGGTCTGGCCTCTGGTTTTCCTGTGTCACATGCAGAGTGGGAAACACTGGCTGCTGCCTATCAGCCCAGGAGGACTGCTAAACTCTGCCTGGGGTCTCATTCCCTGCATGGCAGTCAGGAAAAAGTGCCATCCAAGTAAAGAGCTGGGGCAAGTGGTATCCCTTTGGAAGTTCCCTTCTGTGGATGGTTGGACTTTTCTAAATGACCACCATACACTGTCTTTCGTCCCTGTGTTCTTCTCACACCGTGACCTCACTACCCAAGTCCCAACTGTGGGGTCTAAGGACCCTCCCCTGGAACCAGTGTTACATTGATACCCCATCCACCATTGGGTTATCACAGATGCAATGCTGAGGTTATAAAAAAGGACACAAGTTCTTTCTCTAAGTCTGTTGGCTGGGGTCTCATTCCCTGCATGGCAGTCAGGAAAAAGTGCCGTCCAAGTAAAAAGCTGGGGCAAGGGGTGTCCCTTTGGAAGTTCCCTTCTGTGCATGGTTGTTAGACCCAGTCAACAGACAGGGAGACACCTCAAACTAAACTAGCCCATGAGGAAGGAAAGACCCCATGGATCAGCCCACTTGGTGAGGAACACAGGCCCTAGCTGCCAGCTCTCTGAGCAACAGCCTGTCAGCGGCTCCAGCCTTGACAGTGCAGGGCAGAAACTTGTGGCCTTGGCATGCTCTGTTCCAGTCTGACCCTCAGCCCAGAGATAATACAGAGGGTAAGGCGTTTGGGCCCAGAGTGATGGTATAATGGGTAAGGCATTTGACTTGCACGCAGCTAACCTGGGTTCAATCCTCGGTACCCCATATGGTCCTTTGTGCACCACCAGGAGTAGTTTCTGAGTGCAGAGTCAGGAGTAACTCCTGAGCATTGCTGGGGGGTGGCTCCCTCCTCATAAAAGAAAAGAAAAGAAAAGAAAGGTGTTTGCTATCTGAGATTGATCCTTGGCATTTAATGTGATCCTCTGAGCTCCGCCAGGAGTGCTCCCTGAGCACAGAGGCAGGAGGAAGCCACAGCACAGCTGGTGTAGCTCAAAACACAAACCACTACCCCCACAAAAAGAAAAAAAAAACAGTCTAACCTTTGATATTTGTGACCTTAATAAATGGTGTTCCATTGAGTTTTGGAGTCATTTGTAATGTCACCATGGGAACTACAACACCATCTCTTAGGAATTACAATCCAGGCTGTCTGTTGTCCAAGGCTGAAAATAGTTGCTTTACATATTTTGTACTCCAGTCTGCCCAACCAAAGCCCATGCAATTGGCTACTTACAAAAATATGCAGAGACCTACCAACACACACATATTTCCCCAGACTGCATATATATACATATATATTATACACATGTATGTACATGCATAGCATGTAGGGCCAGACACACCCCTTAGACAACTCCAGAGTTTTCAGTGCTTTTTTGTTTCTTTTGAACCATACCCAGCCGTGCACAGGGACTATTCCTGGCTTGTCGCTCAAGCGTAGCTCCTTGAGGACCACACATGGTGCAGGGAACTGAACCTGGACCTCTGGCTTGCAAAGCATGTGCTCAGCCAATTGAGCGATCCCTCCAGTCTCAGTTTTTCATAATTTTAAAGTGACTTTTCTTCCCAGGATTAAAAATCTCTTGGGGTCAGAATGATAGTACAGTGGGAAAGGCATTTGTCTTGTATGCTATTGACCCTGGTTCAACCCTCGGCACTCCTGTATGGTCCCCAGAGCCTGCCAGGAGTGAGCCCTGAATGTAGAGCCAGGAGTAAGCCTTGAGCACCGCTGAGGGTGGTCCCCTGCAAAAAATCTCTTGGGGCCAGAGGGAGATAGCACAGCAGGTAAGTCACTCGCCCTGCACGCAGCTGACTCCTGTCTTTATATGGTTCCCTTGCTGACTCAGGAGTAAGCGCTGAGCACTGCCAGGTTTGTCCCAGAAAAAAAATTAAATTAAATTAAAATATCCTTCCCCCAGTTATGTTAAATAGCTGGAAACAGATTCAATATGCTAGATATTACGTTTCCCAAGCACACCCCAAGTTGAAATTCTCTCCCTCTGAGGCCACCGCAGGCATGGGGACTGTCTGTTCTCCTGCCAAGGATTGCCTGGGACTCAGATGGGGGCGCTGGGGGGAGTGGGGTGGGACTCTTAACAAGACTTGGCTTGGTAGACATAAGCCTTCTCCTGGGGCTGAGAGGACTCTGCACTTGATGTTGTAAGACTCTAAATTCAGAGAAACAAAGAGATTCCCGATGTGCCAAAGCTGAGCACACAGAACCAGAGCAGGGTTTGGAAGGAGAAGGGGTTAAGGAGTTTGAGGGGTACCCATGATAGAAGCAGGGTCATTTCCCAAGGGCTTATAGCAGTGAGTGGTGGAATCTGGCGGAGAGTAGGAAGAGCGATTCCCTGAGGAATCTGGCGGAGAGTAGGAAGAGCGATTCCTCCTTGTCCTGCAGACTCCCCAATACAGCCCACCTCTTTGAGGATGAGGGGAGGAAGGATGTGAAGCTCTCAAGGAGCACTTTCAGAGAGAAGTGAGGCTCTTAGGTGTCCAGGATAGGACACCTGATTTAGGAGTTTAAAACTTACTTCCACCCCTTCCCTTTAAAATGGCGGAGACCCCAGCCCTGATATCTGGAGAGAGAACACAGACACTTCTTTGGGAAAGAAAGAAAAGTGGAGAGATAGCATAAGGATAAGCCGCTTGCTGGCACATGGCTGACCCTGGTTCGAGTCTCAGCACCACAGAAGGTCCCTTGAGAACTGCCAGGAGTGGTCCCTGAGTGAGGAGCCAGGAGTAAGCCCTGAGCATAGCCAGGATGGGGCTCAAAGACAAGAAAGAAGGAAGGAAGGAAGGAAGGAAGGAAGGAAGGAAGGAAGGAAGGAGGGAGGGAGGGAGGGAGGGAGGGAAGGAGGGAGGGAGGGAGGGAGGGAGGGAGGGAAGGAAGGAAGGAAGGAAGGGAGATGTGTTATTATTTGTAGATGTGGGGGTTCAAATTCAGAGGAGAGAAAACAAAGGGCTGGAGCACATACCTTCCATAGATCCACTGTAGTACATATTACCCTCTCCCCTAGTACCACTGGGTGTAGTCCTGGTGGGCCCTGCGCAATTCCCTCTGTAATTCATCATGCAGGGAGGACCCCCACTCCCAACCCCGGAAAAAACCCTAGGACCTTATGCATGCAAAGCATGCATACTCTTTCATTTACCTTTTTAAATTTTTTTAAAAATTTATTTATTGGTTTTTGGATCACAATTGGCAGTGCTCAAGGACTACTTCTGGCTCAGCACTCAGAGATCACTCCTGGTTAGAAGGACCATATGGGGTTCCAGGGATAGAACCCAGGTTGACCACATTGCCTGATGGCTCAGGTCTCTCCAATCACCTTTATTATAGATGCCCCAAGTTGGTCCCCACACTACCTCACCGAAATTTTCCCTTTGTGGAATCTATAGCAAGCAACCAAGTCTAAAGGAGGAAAGGAACCGCCTGACACCCTCAAGTCCTCCAAGTCCACCCCACTGCCCTGCCCACTTTTCTCACTGCAGCCGCGATGCGCCCTTAAGAATGCGGTTGAAGCTCGTCTTGAGAACATACTACCCTCACGCAATTTACAGGCGAGGAAAACCCGCTCTCAGAGGGAGTGCTGCCCTGCCAAGCAGTTCGGGAACGCCAGGGCGAGTCACCACGACCCTCGGCCCCAATGTCACCAATCTGGGGACCTTCCACTGCGTCTGACACTCGGGGAGGACTCGGAGCGTCCGATGAGTGAATTGCTCAGTCTCCCTAGCCTAGACGTTCAGAGCGAGTGACTGGCGCCACACTAGGGTGCAGATCTTCTGCCTACCATCCAGTTCTCGCCTGTCTGTCCTACCCTGTCCCTCTCTCCTGCCCCAGCCCGAGAAAGCCTGTGCCAAGTTGGCGTGCTCCTCGGCCCGCGTGCTCTTTGTGTGCAAGTTTGCAAGGTGCAGAGGACCAAGGTGAGTGACACTGGACGTCAGCGCTGCTGGAACAGCGTGTGTGGGAGGGTCTGACCTGGCCAAGTCCTGGGTCATCTGCAGCACGCGGACCCCTCTCCACCCGCACTCCCTCTGTACCTCTGCCTCGCGGCGCAGTTCCTGGCCAGGGCGCTCCGTGAGCTGGGCGTGCAGCGCGCTACAGCGCTGCAGCAGCAGCAGGAGCTGCAGCAGCAGGGCGCACCGCGAGCTGCCGATGCGCGGGACCATCTCGTCGGGGCCGGGGCGCTGGGAGGCCGGGAGTGGGGTGTTGCAGCGAGCCGGGAAGGCGCCGGCGCTGCGCCCAACGCACGGCGCACGTCCCCGGGGCCAGCGGGCCGGCGGCGCTTCCCGAGAGCCAGCAGAGGTGGCCCGAACCCGGCTGTAGCTGCCGCCGAGTGCGCCAAGCCGGGACCTAGAAGAAGGAGGAAAGGAGGGGGAGGGGCCGGGATCCCGGCGCGGCGGCCCCACCCACCGGCCCGGAGCAGTCCTGGAGCCTGCACCGCCCGCTGCATCGCCGAGCTGCGTTCCCAGTGCCCCGCCTGTCACCTCCAGTTGCTCGGATCTCTCGAGCGGGGGTTTTGGCTGGGGGATGACGGGGGTGGGGGGGGGGGGAAGTGAGGGATCCTCTCCAGAAGCTTGTGGCCACCCTAGGATTTTGCTGAGAAGGGAGTCTTGGCTTACCTGCGGGTCATTGTTTCAACCAGGTTGGCAGAGCACGGTCCTGGGGTGTTAGAGAAGTAGACCCGGGACCGGCGTCAGAATTGTTGAGTCCCAGATCGGTAGCTTTGCCCGCCTCGTGAGTTCTGCCCAAGCCACTGGCTGGCTGTGTCGTCTTTGGGCAAGCCACTCACTCTCTCTGGATCCGTTTCTCATCAGTGAGTAAGTGTAATCAGAATACCGATGTTATGATAGCAGAGTCGGTTTAAGGCGAAAGTAACGCCTGTTTATAACTGAACATCGTGCCTGGTATCACGCAACACACTTCTTTCGGGGAGAGGATCTGGGGGGGGCCACAGGGGAAGATGCGCAGGGCTTACTCCTACTCTCTATAGTGTCTCTCCAGTGCCAGTACACATGGTTGGGGGGAGGGGTCGTGGTGATTTTTTTTGCAAGTTCACACCTGCAGTACTTAGGGGCCACAGCTGGCTGTGTGCGTGAGGGGCTTAAGCGGTGCAGGATTCCAACCATTGTCACTGAGGCAGCTGCCTGCGGGGCAAGTGCCTTAACCTCGACTGTCTTCCGGTTCTGCAGTGTACATCTCACACATGATAGGCTGCAGTTTTCTGACTTTTGGCAAAGAGGGTTAATTAGCTCCAGTTTTAGTTCCTCATCCAAAAAAAAAAAAAAAAGAGAGCATGTGGAGATCTAGTTCCCAGAAAATTAAGGGCAAATAAGAATAAAAAGTGCCAGGGTTTCTATAGCTCACACAATGGCAACAGAATGCTGTGAGATGCTTTCAGTGTAAATATCTAAACACATACTTGGCCTGAGCTCTAATACAATGGGTAGGGTGCTTACCTTGCATGAGGTCAATCTGGGTTCCATCCCACTCATGACGATGTTCCCCCTGAGCACAGAGCCAGAACCCCTGAACACCCAGTTACCCTCAGAAATAAACTAAGCAAAAGCAAACTTTTCACTCTATGCATTAATACCTTGGAATAGGTTTTCTCTCAACCACAAATCACTATTTTGTACAATGCAGACAGCCCAGTGAAACACCCCCCTAGAAGTTGTGACTCTGAACTGTACAAATGCATGTCAAAGTAACAAAATCCATGCAGTGCTAGAGCCCAGCAGGCAGCACACGGAATATGGTTAGAAAAAGGCGCCACTCCTGAGGGTAGGACTAGTAAAAAGGCCCTTGTTGTGTAGACCTATCCACCTTCCCTTCATTGTTGTTGTTTCCCTTCATTGTTGTCCTGATGAAGGGGGTCACAACATCCCAGGTCACAGCACTAGCAATGCACATGGAGGGCCGTATTTAGTTGGGACAATGTGTTAATCAGGGGTCACCCTTTGGTTGGGGCACTCACTCACATTCTTGTTGTAGTGTCAGGGCTCACAGTAGAGCTCACTGCCTGTGCTCACCAGGGGTCTAACTTCCTGGCTGTGGTGTCCATTTATCTTTCACTTGTGGAGCCTTCACACACCCAGCTGCATAGCTGGAAATCACTTGCAGGACTGTGGAATCACAGCAAGCTCAAACAGTAAAGCTGCCAGGATCACACACGGTGGATGTCTCTGCATTGGGATTTGAACTTGTGGACTGATGTTTGCAAGGCTTCCAGGAAACCAGTGTGTCCTTGGGCTTGCTTGGTTGGAAATAGGTCCAACCCTGAGCCCAGGGGCTATTACTGGCTCTGTGCTCAGGACTGACCCCTGGTGGTGCTGGGGATTCCAAACAGGGTCAGTGGAATGTAAGGCAAGGGCTTATCCCTGTTCTCTCTCTCTCTCTCTCTCTCTCTCTCTCTCTCTCTCTCTCTCTGGCCCAAGACTGAATTTCTTTAGTCATCTATGCCCTCTGCAGTGCTCATGTGCACCTCTGTAAGGAGCATCTTTGTCTAGGATCAAGCTCAGATATGGTGGGAAAAGCTTGGACCTCCCCCTCCAGAGGTTTAGGTCTAGGGGGTCAGACTAGAAGGAAGGGGCTTAATGAGTGACAGTGCAGACTGTGACATGGATGCAGGTCCAGCCTGGCTAGAGATTCTGGAGGGAAGAGGCTGCCAGATTTAGCAAATAAAAATACAAGGTGTCTAGCTAAATATGTGTCAGGCAAGGAGTATTTTGGGGGAGGGGATTTTTGGGTCACACCCAGCAGTGCACAGGGCTTACTCTTGGCTCTGCACTCAGGGCTTTCCTGGTGATTCTTCGGGAACCGTATAGGGTGCCAGGAATCAAACCCTAGAAGGCTGCAAGGCAAGTACGCTACCCTCCTGTACCATCACTCTGGCCCCACTTTTAAATATGTAAGGATGAGCCAGTGGAAAATCTGGAACATACTTACAATACAAATTATTAATCAGAAAAAGAAACTTCAAGTTTTATTGGGTGTTTTCTATTTTATCTAGAAACTTTAATAGGGTAGAGTGTATACGGTAGGTGGTGGAGGTGGGGAATGTCAGAGGTTCTAGCTATGACATGGTATAAAGTGCCCTTAACCAGTAGGCACTTTTTTTTTCAGAGGGCCCGCACATGGCAGTGCTCAGGGCTGATCACAGCCTCTGCACTAAGGGATTGTTTCTGGCATGCTAGGTTTTACGACAGGGATCAAATCTGGGCCTGCTATGTGCAAAATAAGCATCTTACCTACAGTTCTGTCCCTACAGCACCCCCACCCCCCATCCCTATGAGTACTTTTTTTGGAGGATCACACCCAGAGGCTGTGGCTCAGGGATCCTCCTGACAGAACTCAGGGAACTACATGGGGTGCTGGGGATTGAATCTGGCTAGCGGCATGCAAAGCAAGTATCACATCTGTTGTACTGTCTCTCTATCCCCAAGTAGGTACATTTTAATATATCAGATGCAGCTCTACTTTGGGCCAGGAAACTCTGGGAAACATTAGATAGAATATTGTAGACCAAGCTGGAGTCAAACTTGGTGTTGCCTTTTTTTCTGTTGGGGCCAAGGATTATGCCCAGGGCTACACAGATGTGCTCTGTTACTACTGAGCCACATCCTGGACTCTGACAGTTATTTTTTCCAGGCAGCATCTCAGAATCCCTCCCCCAGCACATCCCGGAGGTCCCCCATTCCAACTTCACTGAGAGGAGAGGGGAAGGTGGGAAGCAGTGGTTCTCTAAGGGGGTGAGAATGGAGATGGTTTCAGTTGTCCAGAGAACTGACCCTTTGTTCCCTGTATCTTGGTTAGCCCTGGTCCCTGTCATGTTTGAAAGTTGACTGTGCTGGGCCTGGGAGAAAGTTCAACGGCCTGGGGCACATGCTTTGGGTGCAAGAGGCCTGGGTTCAATCCTGTACCCCGCTGCCAGGTTCCCCAAGGACTGACATGACACCTCCTCCCCCAGCACTTGAAGTAGCCTCTGAGTACGATTGGGTGTGGCCCCCAAACAGGAAAAATAAAAGAAAAAGAGGAAGAATTGTTGACGTTGCTTTCCTTTGATTCCTCAGTTGGATTATATAACTTTATCCTTCCCTTGCCCCTCGCCCCCTCCCTTGTGGTCACTTGGAGATGCTTTCCAGACATAGAAGTGCCTGCAAGGATTTCAGTGGAATGAGCTCCAGTCACACCCACCCACCCCAGGCTTCAACCTTGCCTTTGCATGTGTGGCCTCTGTTTCCTAGGAAGACAACACAATTTCGTGGTTAGAACCTGGGTAGCAGGAGGATGCAGTTCCCTCTACCTCTGGAACTGATTCCTAAGTCTCAGAGAACTCATTCTGTGAGCTTCCGGACCCCAGGAGCCTCTGCAGTGCTGCAGCTGGCTTGTTCTATGTTTTTACTTGGTGGGACACATCCTTTCTTTGGTTTTGTTTATATCTTGTTTTTCTTGTTTGTTTTTATCTTTTCAGTTTTTGGGATCAGCTGCTCAGGAATTACTCCTAGATCCACATTCAGGAATTACTCCTGGTGGTGCTTGGGGGATCATATGGGATGGTGGGGACTGAATCCAGGTAAGTGCCTTACCTGCTTTACTATTTCTACAGCCACTGTTTTTATCTTGTTATTTTGAGGGGATTGTTTTTGGGCCACATGAGGCAATTCTTAGGTTACCCCTGGCTCTATGCTCAGGGTTGCTCCCAGCAGTGCTCTGGGGGCTATTCAGTGCTAATGATTGAACTCAGCCCTCCTGTATGCAAAATATGCACTCAGGACTGAAGAGATAGTACATCGGATATGGTGCTTGTCTTGTATGCAGCCAGCTTGGGTTTGTTGCCCAGAACCGTATATGGTTCCCTGAGCACTGACAGGAGTGATCTCTGAGCACAGGAGTAAGCTCTGAAAACCACCCACTGCAGCCACAAAACAAAACAAAACAACAAAAACATGCATTTAGTCTTTTGAGTTTCTTCCTGACCCAGTCTTGATTTCAAGAGCATGAATAGGAAGGCAGCTAGTGAGCAGGAGGGAAAGGCATTAATAAGGTGACCGAAATAAGGTGTGGGGCAGGGCAAGCTATAGTACAGCGGATAGGGCATTTGCCTTGCCTGCAGCTAACCTGGATTCAATTCCCAGCACCCTATATGATTTCCTGAAACTACCGGGAGCAAGCTGAGAGCACTGCTGAATGTGGCCCCAAAACGATGACAACAACAAAATAAAATAAGAGGGGTCTGAATTATTCACAAGCAATACAAAATAAATTACTTAGGCTCTGCCTTTGGGGCAGGCTTGGGTAGTGGTGGTAAAATTTGAAATAATAGTGGTGGGAAGATGTAATGATGGTGGGACTGATGTTGGAATATTGAATGTAATAGATTATTGTGAACAACTTTATAAAAATAAAATTAAAAAAAATAAGGGGGCCCTGAGAGTTAGTACAATGGGTAAGACCATTGCCTTGCATGAAGATGACCCAGATTTACTCCCTAGCTCCCCATATGGTCCACAGAGCGTATCAGAATGATCCTTCAGCACAGAACTAGGAATAATCTCCAAGCACAGCCAAGTCTAGCTAAAAGAATAAAAATAAAATAAAATGGTGGTAAAGAGAGCTTAGCTGGATAGTGAC